CGAGGCTGTGTGCTGTGGCTCTGTCTGTAATCCCAGCACTTTGGGAGGCTGAAACAGGAAGATAGCTTGAGCCTGGGAGTTTGAGACCAGCTTGGGCCACATAGCAAAACTTTGTTTCTACCAAAAAAGAAAAAGAAAATTAGCCAGGTGTGGTGGCACACACCTATAGTCTCAGCTAATTGGGATGCTGACGCAGGAGGATCAGTTGAGCATAGGAGTTAGAGGTTGTGGTGAACTGTGATTGTGCCACTGCACTCCATTCTGGAGTGATTGCCTCAGTCTTCCAAGTAGCTGGAACTACAGGTACACGCCACCACACCTGGCTAATTTTTTGATTTATTTTAGCGACAAGGTCTTGCCATGTTGCTCAGGCTGGTCTTGAACTCCTGAGCTCAGGCAATTGTTTCGCTTTGGTCAAAGTGCTGGGATTACAGGCATGAACCACTGCGTCTGGCTAGATCTTTATTTTAAATGACAGCCCCAAATAAGAACTATGTGAACTGAGGTCACTGTGCCATGCTGGGAGGACGCTGAGAGACATTACTGATGAGTTTGGCGTGTCTTCAGATAAGAAGGATCACCTCACTCCATCACTGCCTCTCTGTAGAAATTCTAGAAGATGTTCACTTGTGGAAGTCGTTTTAGGTTGTATACTTCAGCACCCTTTGACTTGATTGGCATTGTCAGGAAAGGTTTCATTTTTGAAGTGATCATCTTGTGGGATAGCGTAACTCTTTTGCTGGAATTGATATTGAGCGTGGTTGAAGGAAATTTGGTGTCTTCACCCCGTTTTCTTTCCCAGCTTCCTGTATTTCGCCTCCTACCCCTGGTGCATCTCCCACCCCCGTGTCTAAGAGAAGTTCTTAAAACACGCCCGGGAGGCTTTCTCTCTCACACCTCCCCACCTTCGCACCTGCCATGTCCTCTGCCTTTCACCAAGTCCTTCTTGACTGTGACATCCACCCAGTCCCTGCCCACGTCCTTCCAGAAGCCTTCCCGAGCTGAGGTCTACTCCTGGGTTGCCATCCTGGACACTGTGTGTGGAATGGAGTGCTTTCTCTCTTACCCACTCATTTTGCTTATTTGAGCACTGACATCTGTTGAACACTTTTAAGTCCCAGGCTGGGTTTACACGTACAACTGGTTTACAGGTCTAATTGGGCTACATGTACAAACTCATCTAAACAGCCCAACCGTCAATTTTTTTTGTAAACCCTCATTTACCGTAAGAGGAAACTGAGGCACAGAACAATTAAATGCCTTGCCTAAGGTTACATAGCTTATCATTGGCAGAGCTGGGATAGAAGCTCAGAAAGTCTTTCTCCACTTAGTGAGAACAGTTTCTGCTTAAGTATTTTACATGTCTGCATTCCCAGTGTCTGGAAAAGTGCCCAGAACATAGTAGGTGCTCAATAAATATTAAGGGGGTGGTGCAAAAACAGTAATTAAGATAACCCTTAAAAAAATAATAATAAGAGACAAGATCTTGCTCTGCCGCCCAGCCTGGAGTGCAGTGGTGTGATCGTAGCCACTTTAAGCAGTCAGTTTTGTTACAAATCAATTTCTCTTAAGCAGTCAATTTTTGCTTAAGCGGTCAACTCTATTAAGCAGTCAACTTTGTCACAAACCATTTCTTTACATTTCATTGTAAAATGTAGCCTCTTTGGCTTCTGCAGGATGGTGAGTTGCTGAATTATTGTTCTTCCTCAACCCTCCTGAGCCCGGGGTCCCTTACCACTTCTTTTGTGCTTATGCTCTGAGTTTGATGCTTAGAAGATGAGCACATTTGTTTAAAATTATGTGAACAATGTATACTTATATGCATTGAGAAAAGGATCTTACTTATGATTTTCCTAGGATAGGATTCACACAAGTGGTTTTTATTTTCTCCTTTGAACTTTTCTGTATGTTCTAAAGTTCCCATGATGAATTTTTGTTGCTTTTATTTTATTTATTTATTTATTTATTTATTTATTTTTTGAGTTGGAGTCTCACTCTGTCACCCAGACTGTAGTGCAGTGGCCATTGCCGGCCACCGCAGCCTGGACCTGCTGGGCTCCGGCGATCCTTCCGCCTCAACCTTCCGAGTAGCTGGAACTACAGGCATGCGCTACCACGCCCAGCTAATTTTTGATTTATTGTAGAGATGAGGTCTTACCAAGTTACCCATGCGGGTTTCGAACCCGCGGGTTCAGGCAATCCACTCACCTCAGCCTCCCAAAGGTGCGGGATTACAGGCTGAGCCACTGAGCCCGGCCTGTTGCTTTTATAATTAGCAAACCATGTTACTTACAATGAGAAAACTACTTTTTTGGAGCTGCATGAAAAGGAAGACCTTAGAAATGCTTTTTCTGTAGATTAAATGAGACCTGCCACATACGTAAGCAGTCATATGAGATGCACTATGACTACAGAACATGCCTTGCAAATATATCCCTGCTGTACTATTAAAACTGTCTACTCAAAGGTCACTGTCTTCTTCCTAGGATATCCAAGGCATGTAACAAAGGAAGACAGGTGGGCATGGCACTTGGAAGCTAGGTAGTTTTCTTGGGGAGATGGCTGTGCCAAGGAGTGTTTTTTATTTGCAGTTTAGAAGTTCAGGGTTGCAAAGTCAATGTCGTCTAGGTCAGCAGGAGGTTTTAGTTTTGGAGGCAGAGTAATGCATAAGCATGAACTCAGACTCTTAGTACATTACATTTGAGAATAGTAATTCCAAAGTCACTTAAATACATCCCAAAAGGTGAGTCTGAGGGCCAGAGTTGGTGGCAAGACTTGGAGCCTATGGCAGGGAGTGGAGACCGGGCACAATTGTTTCTCCCAGACTAATAGGTGACATAGCCAGGACTGCAGGGGTCAAGAAACTATCCTGGTGGTTTGATTGCTTTTCTTTACAGAATGGGCATGGTTCACTGGTAGGAAAGAAAATTTTGAGGCACACAGAGGTGGTTTTGTCTTTGGCTTGTGCAGTGCTGTCTGGGGTCTCACCTGCCTATTCACCCAGAGAAGCGACAGGAAGGGCGTTGCCCCAGTTCCATTTCTTGATCACATTGCCCAGCACAATTCAGGGCCAGCAAGGTTCATCAGTTCTAAAGATTCTCTAAAGGAGAAAAATAAGAAAAGTCTATCTGCAAGGAAGAGAAATCTCAGTCATCTGTCAAAAGCCATTTCCTGTAAATTGCTTGAAAGTCCGCTGTGTGAGCCAGAAGGGCAAATGGCAGGTAGGGAGCATTTTCCGGCTTATCCTCAGAGTTGTGAAGCTTGGTGGGGTGCTTTGCTCACTGTCAGCTTAGTTCTAGCCTGTGCTTGGCATTTGATATATTTTTTTTTTTTGAGTTGGAGTCTCACTCTGGTGCCCAGACTGGAGTGCAGTGGCACGCTCCCGACCACCGCAGCCTCCACCTCCTGGGCTCCGGCAATCCTTCCACTTCAGCCTTCCAAGAAGCTGGATCTGTAGGTGCACGCTACCACGCCTGGCTAATTTTTTTGATTTATTGTAGAGATAAGGTCTCGCCAAGTTGCCCAGGCAGGTCTCGAACCCACGGGCTCAGGCAATCCTCTCGCCTCGGCCTCCCAAAATGCTAGGATTACAGGCTGAGCCACCGAGCCCGGCGATATATATATATTTCTACTTGAGCATTTATTCCATGAGGAAGGTATTGTCTTCATCTTACAGAAGGGAAAGCTGAGACTCAGGCTACAGGTTACTGTGTCCAAAGTCACACAACTAATAGCTAAAATTTTGTTTTCTTTCTTTCTTTTTGTTTTGAGTTGGAATCTCATTCTGCCACCCATGCTGGAGTACAGTGGCACGATCACAACTCACTGGAGCCTGAGCCTCCTGGGCTAAGGCGATCCTCCCACCTCAGCCTCTCGAGTAGTTGGGACTACAGGTATGTGCTACCATGCCTGGCTAATTTTTTATTTTTTGTAGAGATGAAGTCTTGCTCTTTTGCCCAGGCTGGTCTTAAGCTCTTGGACTTAAGCAATTCTCCCGCCTTGGCCTCCCAAAGTGCTGGTGTTAAAGGCATGAACCACCGTGGCTGGCCGAAATCAGGTTTTCCTAGCTTGCACACTCTTCTTTGAGGCTCAGTTTGGGATCTTCTCATGGTACAGTTATCCCTAAGCATGCCAGATTAGCGTAAGGTGAGATCTGCCAGGTCAGGGCCAGACCTGATCTTTATTGTCATTTTATTCTGTTCATCGTGGATTTTAAAATTACTTATAATTTAAAAAAAAATTTGCTAAAGGCCAGGCATGGTGGCTCACGCCTGTAATCCCAGCACTTTCGGAGGTGGAGGAGAGAGGACTGTCTGAGTCCAGGGGTTTGAGACCAGCCTGAGCAACTTGGTGAGAACTCGTTTCTACAATAAGTCAAAACATCAGCCAGGTGTGGTGGTGCGTGCCTGTTGTTCCAACTACTTAGAAGGCTGAGACAGGATTGCCTGAGCCCAGCAGGCCAACGCTGCCATGGCCATGAGCGGGCCACTGCACTCCAGCCTGGGCGACAGAGAGTGATTCCTACTTAAAAACAAAAGATTCACTAAAAATGATCTTGATTACGGAGTGTTTTGGCACCTCCTTAAATTTTGTACCCAAGGTGAGATCCTCACTTTTCTCACCCTAGTGCAAGAGCAGTCCTGGAGCCTGAAAGATTAAAATCTAGTCAGCCAGCAAACTGTTTGATCAGCATTTCCAGCACTGCAATGCTATTTTATTTTCCTTCAGGACATTTTTGGAGATGAGTCATGGTCTTAAAGATGTGTCGTCTCTTCACCTTTGAAGCTACCCGTCTGTTTGATGCACAGCTGTTGGTACCAGACGTTCCTTGCAACTTTTTGGCTTTGAGAAACCAAGGCCCAGGTCTGATGAAAGCCTGGGAGAGTCACAGCACTTGTGTGTCACAGCTTGGCGATAATGCTTTGGCGGAGGGGACTAGGGAAGAAGAAGATGTGTCTTTCAATTGAAGTCACATCAAGGAGCTGTGAAGTGAAGCCTCCTCTGAGTGCAGAGACCAGCCATCTGGCAGGTGTGTGCTGTGGGCATAATGTGGGGCCGGCTGGGCCTGGTTCTGGGTGGTGGCTGTCCGCCTCTTCCCCTGTGTTGCCGCGGGATACTTGGGTAGACCAGCTCCTCGACAGACTCTAAGGACAGACTATTTCACAGGGGAATTGACAGTGTTCCACTGAGACTTTTTTTTTTTTTTTAAAGAAAATGTTTGAAAATAACCTTGTTTCTTTAAAATCTTTTTCTTGTTTCTTTAATTGTAAAGATGAATAGGGTCACTGCAAAGTGAAGCGATCAGCTAACATACTACACACAGACTCACCTGTTAATTACCACACTTCCACCATACACTGATTGCTGTTTTCGTATTTGCCTTATTTCGTTTTCCTTCCTTTCCTTAGGTTTTTAAAAATAGATTTTATGATTTAGAGCAGTTTGAGGGTCAGAGCGAAATCGAGCAGAAGTCAGACTTCCTGATCTCCAACCTCCCTGACGGCTACCATGCCACATTTTGCTTGATTTTTACATTTTTTCGTTTTGTTGAAATGGATAATATATTGTACCTATGTCTTGTGAATCTCTTTCCCTCCTGTTATCTTGCTTCAATGATCCTTAAGTCAAGATGGAGATCAGAGGCCTCATGAGGTTTTCCTGTTGACCTTTCCTAGAGGAATGCAGCCCTGGGGAGGGGGTTCCCAGATGCCTTGCCCTTCGAATATTACCTTGTGGAGATTTCCCAGACTGTCTGGAAGGGCATAAGGGCTCCGCAGGCTCCGCACCTCCCCTCCCTTTTATCACTTGACTTTTTTCTCATTGGCATTTGGGGGAGGGGATTTGGGATTTACTTTCTATTAAAAGAGTTCCTCATGAGTTAGAAAATAGAACTGTAGCAGGAGTGTTTCCAGAAAAGTCTTGCTTGTTAAAGGAAATGCCTCGGTCAGATGAATGCTCTGGCGGTTGGTACTCCGGTGGGCATGCCTGCTTGCAAGCGTGGGGGTTGCAGGGTGGTGTAGGACAGATTTCTAAGGCAGTAGGCAGGCAAGAATTGGCCCCATGTCTCTCTTTCCAGTGTCGGGTGGAAAACATTCTTTCCCTTATGCACCTGTACATTCTGGCTTGTTTCGTTCACTTTAGTGTGACTACTGCCTGGCCCAGAGTAGGTGCTCATTAAATAAATCTTTGTTGAATGAATGAAAACAAAGCTCCCTTTTGGGGTTTCTGGGTAAAATTGCCTTAAATCTCTCAAACCTGAACTAACCTCACCAGCAGTTTGGTCCCCATGGTCTGTAAAAACCTATTCACCATCCTAGCCTAGCCTCCAGACACTGTCTTCTTTATCCATCCTTTTGCTTGGAGATTCTGTTTCTGCCTCTCTCAGTACAGGCTGGTTAGCCTCTGGTTAAGTTAGAGACGCTGTAGGTGTGTTCTGTGAATGGCTGAGGTGCCTTGCAAGTCAGGAGCTATAAGATGTTAAAAACAAATACTGATTGAGAAAAAAAAAATACTTCTTTGGTAGTGTGATATCATGCATTAGAGGCTTATAAATTAAGCTTACCATGACCTTTTCTCAATGCTCCACGATGATCCTTCTTTAGCTTAATTCGGAGTAAATTGACGGATTGTGGGACCGTGCCTTTATGAGTAATCCTGCTGGCACTAACTCCTGTAAATGGCCTCACATTAAGTGAACAATATACCTAATAGCATTTAAGGTTGTGAGGGAGAGGAAGGACAGGAACTAGCATGCGGGGATTCTGCCTCCGCTAGTGTCTGTTGAGTTGCCGGCTACCTTGGTCCATTTTGAAGAAGTGGCATTTGTTTGAACCATATGGAGGTGGACTGAACATCTGGACCCTGTTTACCTGACACCCACTAGGCTGCATCTCAGGGACTCTTGTTTTGAGAATGTGGAAAGGGGCAATTTAGTTCTAGACTGAAAGAGTCAGAGAGTCTAGGGTGCTCTTGGTGGGTTTATGCTCAAGTAAAAAATGTCTTTTGATTCTTCCTAATCGAATCCCTTGGCTTAAAATTCTTTTGATTTGTATTTGATTAAACAACAAAGCGACACATCTGTGGCCTTGACTTTGTGTGCATTTTTACCTAGTGCTGTGAATCCAGTGGAGGTATCTTTTAGAGAACTTAGATTTCTGCTTAATACAAAACAGGCTCCTATTCTTAATTGTTTTAGGGATTAGACAGTGTTCCTCATTGCTGCTGCTTCAGCTTTCTCCTCTGTCATCTCGTGTGTAAGTGTGTGTGAGAGGGGAGGATCTCTGAAATAGAGCCATGGTCTTGCAGGTCAAGGGGTTTGTCAGTTAGAATGGTCCAAAGTGAATGATGTGATTATCACTTCAGTGGTTTCATTCATCTTGAAAATACGATGAGTTAAGCTTGGTTTACTTTAAAATGCTAATTTTGTTTGAGTCTATTTTTTTAGTTTACCCTTTAAATAATGTAAAATCATCCTGCAATTTGACATATTATGCTGATATTAATGGATGTGAAACATTTTTTATGAAACAAGTCCGTATTTTAAGACGGTTTGTAACTATGAAAGTATTAGGTATTGTGAGTACTCTGTTGTGCTGGGGACCGACACGCCTTGACTTTTAAACCCCACTAATTCAGAGTTTAAGGCAGTTTGAACTCTGTCAGGCTGAAGTCTGTTTTAACAGAATGTGTGGGGAAAAAAGTTTGTTAAGCAAATAATGAAAGCAAAGTTACATGGGGAAAATGGACTCTTTGAGAGAAGAGGCTTTTCCAATACTGAAGCATGATTAGTAATTCTTTCACATTAAAACAAACCTGGTAAGACCTTTAAAAATTTTATTACATGCAGAATTAAAAATTGCTCCATTGTCTTTTATTTATTTATTTTTTTGAGTCAGGGTCTGGAGTGCAATGGCATACTCACAGCCACCACAGCCTCAACTTGCTGGGCTCAGGTAATCCTTCCAGCTCAGCCTTCCAAGTAGCTGGAATCACAGGCCTAATTTTTTTTTGTTGTTGTTGTTGATCTATTGTGGAGATGAGGGCTCACCATGTTACCCAGGCTGGTCTTGAACTCCTGGGCTCAGACACTCCTCTTGCCTCAGCCTCCCAAAGTGCGGGGATTACAGGCGTGAGCCACCACGCCTGGCTGCTCCATTGTCTTCTGACAAACACGTGTGGTTTAATTTTTTCTTTTTCTCTCTGAACTTTTTATAAGCTTTACTTAATTTCTCATATTTTAAAATTTCACAACTTCTGTCATATATCTCAGTGTGGATCCTCTAAAAATTAGCGATGTTGGGCATTTACTTTCTTCTTTTAGTTTGGAGACCCTTGTTCATCAGTCTGAGACATTTCTGAAGTTGTTTAAAAAATATTTTTTTTCGGCTGGGCACAGTGGCTGAAGCCTGTAATCTCAGCACTTTGGGAGGCCGAGGCAAGAGGATTGCCTGAGCTCAGGGGTTCGAGACTAGCCTGGACAACTTGGTGAGACCTCATCTCTACAATAGATCAAAAAATTAGCTGGGCATGGTAGTGCGCGCCTGTAGTTCCAGCTACTTGGAAGGCTGAGCGGAAGGATCGCCGGAGCCCAGCAGGTAGAGGCTGCAGTGGTCGTGAGTGTGCCACTGCACTCCAGCCTGGGTGACAGGGTGAGACGCCAACCCAAAAAATAAAAATAAAAACATAATTTTTTTCAATTCTTTTTTCCTGCATTTCCTATCATTTGAGTATTAGGCCTTTTGGAAGATTCTCTACTTTCCTACCTTTTAAAATTTCCATCTATTTATCTTTTGCTTTACTTTTTATGAGATGTCTTCAAATAAACCTTTCAACTAACTATAGAAATACCAATTTCAGTTATCCATATTGTTAATTTTTGATAATTATTGACCTTTTTTTTAATAGCATCTCTTCCTATACTTTGGAATAGATATTTGTATTCTCTCTGGGGATAGTCTAGATTTTATACAATTTTCTTCTTCTTAGTCTGTCTTGTGTTTTTAGAAGGCTTTTTTCCTCCTCTTTGTTTTGGTTCAGACTTTCATTTTTGCAGGCTTTTCTTAAATGTTGACTGGTTCTTGGCTATTTTTTTTTTTTTTGAGTTGCAGTCTCACTCCGTCACCCAGGCTGGAGTGCAGTGGCACGCACACTCACAGCCACCCCAGTGTCGACCTGCTGGGCTCCGGCGATCCTTCCACTTCAGCCTTCCAAGTAGCCGGAACCACAGGCACGCTACCACGCCCGGCTGATTTTTGATTTATTGTAGAGACGAGATCTCACCGTGTTGCCCAGGCTGGTCTCAAACCCACGGGCTCAGGCAATCCTCTCGCCTCAGTCTCCCAAAGTGCTGGAATGACAGGCTTGAGCCACCGTGCCTGGTCTTGGCTGTCTCTTAAGAGCAAGTATGAAGGCACTAAAAATCAGATTGGAACTGTTGTGTGTGTGGATGGGGCTGTCAATTGTTGACTTTTCTTTAAACTGATGAAGCAGTAGCCCTCAAATGTCCGACTGTGTGTTCGCTGAGATTCTCCTGAGACTAATTCTACTATCCCTGCCTGGGGCAAGCCTGGGGAAGCTACAAGTATTCTGGACACAGGGTGGAGGAAGGGGACTGTGGGTGGCCTGGTGTAGTCATAGATGCTTCTTGATTCCCACCACTGCCTCATTTTCAGCCCTGAGCCACACCCTCTTTCTCACAGTGCCTGGTGTCTGTGAGTTTCATACCTCCCTGGTCCTCAGGGAAGGTGGGGAAGGGCCCTGGGGTGCAAAGGTCCAGCTTCTTTGCACAGTGACTTGCACCCTCTGTCCCTCGCCCCTCGCCCTCTCCTCCTTCCCTTAGCCTGAGCCTCCTGGGCTCTGGGCTATTCTGTTGGAAGCTTCTGAGCATCATTTCTGATCCCCTGTCAGTAGGGACTGCTCTGTCTTTCCGTAGTCCCAGGGTCTCGTCTTCCATTGTCTCTGCTGCTGTATATGTATATAACCTTAAAAAAAAAAGCATGTTTGTTGCTTGCAGTCATTTTAGTAGGATTT